CGTGACCGTCAATGGGTTGCACATGCCCAACCCGTTTGTTATCGGGTCGGGTCCGCCGGGAACTAACTATACGGTTATGAAGAGGGCATTTGACGAAGGTTGGGGGGCTGTGATTGCCAAAACTGTAAGTTTATGCCCCGTTTGGTTTCTTAGTGTGTTGATACTGTTTGGTTGCCGAGAAAGCAGGTGGGAAAGTTTAAATTGGTCATGGACAATATTTATTGGAAACTAATGGCATACTGAGTATATTCTTACTTTTAGTTCATTTCATTTTCACTATCTGAAATGTATGTCGGACGAACTCTGATAATTTGGATTTTGCAAGGTTAATTGGTTGCTCTCTGTATGATCTAATGATCTGTAATTTTATTGATTGAGTTGGTTGATCTGTGGTTAATCCTTGTTAGAAATCTGATGAAGATTTGAATAAATGGACTTAGAGACAGTTTTGATAAGAAGCAAGATTAGTATTTGGACTGAGATTTGAGGATTAGTCTTTGGCTGGAGGCTCCGGGTTCTGCTATCTGTCCATTGGCTGAGATTTCCACCTGATGTTTTTTTATCCGTCTTTTTTGCTGTCAGGTGTCACTAGATGCAGCAAAAGTTATAAATGTAACTCCTCGATATGCCCGGCTACGAGCGGATTCGAATGGGTCTGCGAAAGGACAGATTATCGGGTGGGAGAACATCGAGTTGATAAGTGATAGGCCTCTTGAAACTATGTTGAAAGAATTCAAGCAATTAAAAGAGGAGTATCCTGATAGGATTCTCATTGCTTCAATAATGGAGGAGTATGATAAAGCTGCTTGGGAAGAACTTATCGATCGAGTTGAACAAACTGGAGTTGTGAGATTTTTGTCTATGGTCTCTTTTATCCTCATAAATACCAAGTAGAGGCTCCTCTTCATTCACTATAGCTGCCTCTTTTTTCAGGATGCATTTGAAATCAATTTTTCGTGCCCTCATGGCATGCCCGAACGTAGGATGGGCGCTGCAGTTGGACAAGATTGTGCGCTTCTGGAAGAGGTTTGTGGATGGATAAATGCAAAAGCTACAATCCCTGTTTGGGCAAAAATGACTCCCAATATCACTGACATTTCACAGGTACTTTCTCTCTCCCATACATCAGGAATATTACATTATGCTTAAAACTGTATTTTTCATTTTATGGCAAAAGTTTCTCTGCTGATGATGGCTCTGGATAATGATATATTTTAGCATAAAGATAGAGAGGGGATAAGTTGGATAACTTTAGTGGTTCTAGTGCATCTGTTCTAAGTTTATATGTTGGAGAAGGAGTTTTTAAATTTGAATCAGACTCAATTTTATGAATGAAGAAAATGATATATGTTCTATGGCTTTATATGCTTATGCAACTAATGAATTTGCACATTTTTTCCTTGTATGGTATAACACAAAATTCTCCTATTAGCCTGCAAGGGTGGCTCTGAAATCAGGATGTGAGGGAATAGCGGCCATCAACACAATCATGAGTGTAATGGGAATCGATCTCAAGACCTTACGTCCCGAGCCTTGTGTTGAGGGGTTTGCTAATTCGAACTCTTCCAGTATAGAATGGTCGTGTCTTGATACTACCATTTGGCTAGAAAAATTTTGATGTGTTTCAATCTTTATATTGTTAGGTACTCAACTCCAGGAGGCTACTCCTCCAAGGCAGTTCATCCTATTGCTCTTGGTAAAGTGTTGAGTATTGCAAAGATGATGAAGTCAGAATTTAATGATGCAGACTACTCTCTTTCTGGCATTGGCGGTGTTGAAACCGGTGGAGACGCTGCCGAGTTCATTCTACTCGGAGCGGACACCGTTCAGGTATGAAGAGAAGTTATAACCTATAATTTCTTTATAAACCATGCATCTGCTTTCTAAACGGAAGTTCTGTACCTTCTACATGTTCATGTAAATACATTGAAGTGATTCTTTAGGAGTAAATACGTCAATTGGTTCACATTTTGGAAATGTAATTCTTTTTACGTACCAAGTTAAACTTTGCTTGCGAAAGAATCATCGTATGCCCCAAAAATAGATTATTTCAAACTATACCTGGCATTCAAGTATCCACCACCTTAAAGGAGACCTATCTAGAACTACATTTCGATTTCGCCTTGTTCATCGCAAGCTGATCGTGAATGCTCGAGCCAGAATTAATCTTCCACTGAAACGAGCTTGCAGTCATTTGTAATGGTGTAATATTGCAATCTTGTATTCTGAGAAAGTTTCATTCATCTGCAGGTGTGTACAGGAGTGATGATGCATGGATATGGCCTTGTAAAGAAACTTTGTGCCGAGCTCAAGGACTTCATGAGACTTCACAACTTCTCATCCATTGAAGATTTCAGAGGGTAAGGTTACAATTTTATTTTTGGAATACAAGTTCCTCGAACATTGATCAATTGATCGCATTAACATATTCCGTGTGAAGCAGGGCCTCTCTTCCATATTTCACGACCCACACGGATTTGGTTCGGAGGCAGCGGGAAGCAATCGAGCAGAGGAAAGCTGTGAAGAAAGGTCTGCAGTCTGATAAAGATTGGACTGGCGATGGCTTTGTTAAAGAGACTGAGAGTATGGTTTCCAACTGAAAGTCTAATACAGACCAAGCCATTGCCTTGCCAATAGAAACAACAAAAATGGTGCCTTTTATATCTCACTACAGTTTCTTTCTCCTGATGAATAAGTGTATTCTTACGTGAACTATTTAATTTCATATTATAAACTTTTGTAGATTGGATTTCATGAATCACAATAACAGAGATTTGTTTCAGTCCAAAATCATCATTCTTTGATATGTTCATCCAAGTTTTCTTTGCAGTCATGCCAAGCCATGTTTACAACCTACACTATTTTATGCATTTTGTATGAAATGAATGTTGAATATAAAAATGACGAGAAATAAATAGGTGGTGAAGGAGAATGGCAAATTGACACATTCTCAGTGAAAAAATTCATAAATTAAATCTCCTGAAGTAGTTTAAACTGAGGAAATAATTAGTACAAAGATGGCAGATACCTCTCCCAAAAACTGAAAGGAAACAACTACCAAAGTTATGCTATCAATAATAAGAAGCCTTCTTCGGTACACCGTAGAGAAGGCAGAAGCAGAACCAGCAGCAGCTGGAGAAGGGAAAATAATAACAGCAGAAGATTTTCGATTTACCTTTGAGCTTTATGCCATATCAATGCCTATGGTGTTTGTAAAAAACTACACTCTACAAGAATTATTCTCTCAAAAAACAAGTATGACCTACAAACTTACTTCCAAAACTCGAGGGTGGAGAAGTGGGATTAACCCAACCCCCGAACTGTGCCTAGTGAAACGATTATGGTGACGAAAGAATTAAAAGCAAATACAAGGACAGGAAGGCTGCATGGAAGATCCATATAACGCCATTGATGGAGGAATCATGACACGGGAGCTTTACATTCTACCCTTTATGGAGTGCGTCTCCAAGCCCAGTTTTCTAAATCTAATACGGATGTTATGTTTCCATCATCTCAGTCATAAGCTTTCTCCCAATCCTCTGCCACTTCCAACATTTCTGTTCCACTATCTGGTATTACACCCTGCATCCCCCCAGAACTCAATGCCCTACTTGTACTTGATTCAGATCCTGGAGAGGAATGGCCTACCCGATTCCCAGGATTGTGTTCAGCAGATCGAGAGGAAGAACTCACAACAGATTCAGGGTCTAAAGCATGCCACCGATTGAATGACGCAGAAATTGGAGCTTCTTTTCTCCACACGGGTGCCTGTACGTCAATAGATGAACCAGCCCACTCTTCATCACCACCCCATGACTTGTCCGCCCAACTAGACTCTTGAACTACGGCCCTTTTCCATGGATTATTACTCTTCAATGCTCCACCTTCCTTTGTATTCTCCCCTCCCCAAGCATTTGCATTAGATGATGCTGATGCACCACCATTCTGAAGAAGACTGGCTCCATGATATGCCGTCCCATGATCCAACCTTCTCATTGCAGTAGCTGCTCGAGCTGGATCACTGAATACGGCCAGAGCATTCTTGTCATTCAACCATACTAATTCACACTCCCCACCAAACCTCAAGACCAATGCACTTATATCTGCTTCCCTAGGTAAATCTGGGAAGGACACAACCAGCCTAGGATCCATATCTACTAAAGGATCGAAAACTGGTGGATGTGGAGTACCTGTGGTCGTTGAGCCCTTAACACCAAGTACACGAGGAGGAACTTTCGATTTAGGAGTGACATGAATTGTAATAAAACGCTTAGGCTCCCAGCCAACAGTATTAGTGGCAAGCTTCCACCTCTCAGCAATCAGCCTAACAGCATCTCTCTTCTCCTTAAGCATTGGACAGAAAACGTGAACTTTAAGGCCACTCATTGCTGCTCTATTCTTTCCAAGGACCAAGAATTTGCATCTCTCCTCCACGGACAATACCCATTTTGAATCACGTCTAAAAAGGTCTGCTAGCAATTCAGAAGCAGAACTATCACCCAAGTGAAGGGCGTCCAAATTTGGGGGATTGATATCAAAAGCATCTGCAAGAACCCGTTTCCGCTCCAGCTTAGAGCAGTCATCATCACATGTCAGTTTTCTTTGTCCAAGTGGAATCTTTTTGCCATTTGCCTCGATAGGTTGAAGTGGAACAGGTAATTTTTGGATAATTGAAGCATACAGAGTATCGGTATTAAAACCAATACTGCTCCCTCCAGCATCGCAAGGAACAGATGCTGTTATTCGGCCACATGAACAAGTGATGATGACAGGGAATTCACATCTAGCGTCGGGGCAAGAAGCAGAGGGGTGACATGGTGCAGTACATGTATGCCTACAATCTCTTCGAGGCGCCCCACATGTCTGTCCACAGGAAGTTCTCTGACCCAAATCAGATCCGACAGAGGTGTCACATGGTGGTGGGTGGCAAGTTCTGCTACAGGCATGCATCCCACACTGCCTAGTCTTCCCGCACAGCTTGTTGCATCTGATATCCCTCGAACCACAAGGAATGTTCCTAAGAACTACATGTCCACCAATGCACTCCTTGGCTATAGGAACTGTACAGGGTGGGCAGTCACCAAAGTGGCAACTATGAGTAGAAGAATGGCCACATGGCTGAGGAACTGAACAAGGGAGTTGACATGATGGGGGTGGCGTTCCGCAAGGCAGTGGTGGAGGAATTGAAGTTTTACCACAAGCACATGTCAAGTCTGTGAAGATTGTCTCGGGACATGGAGAGCAATGGCCACTATGACACAGTGATTCACAAGCATGCTGGCCACACCTCAGTTTCTTCCCACACCTCATTAAGCAGAAGTGTGGATCCCAATCTCCTGAATGACTATAGCTGGAGCTTGATAGAGGACAGCATCTCTCACTGCACCTATGCCTTCCACAATTTTTTTTCCACCCACAAGGCTTTTCACAAGTGAATACATCCGTTGGGCTGGAAGTCTTATAGCATTCCACATTTCGAGAAGTTGATCCACATCGGCATTTTTGCACAACTTGAACCAAGCAAGGTGAACAATTCCCAGTGTGACAGGCATCCTCACAACGATGCTTCCCACAAGGTAATAGTTTCTCACATGGTTCAGGACATGTTGGGATTGGGTCCAAACAACTTGTCCGTTCTTCCTGCAATCGTGTTTTCCCACAATAACATGTCTTAATCATGTCCGGCATTAGATCACAGCCTCCACAGGGTCCTGGATGACAAACTTCACTGCAGAAATGATTGCCACAGTTAAGAGTCTTCCCACAGATGGAACTACAATTAAAGACACCATCTTCTGCATTTACTTCACCCTTCAAAGTCATGCCTCCACAAAGAACAAGCTCTCTTTTTTTCTTGCAGAAGCAAGAGGCACTGACCAAAACCTGACAAGGATCACAAGGACCAACATGGCAGATTCTTTTACACCAGTGACGCCCACAATCCAGAAGTTTTTCACAATGCTGACCACAGGTTAAAGTGGATTTCCTATCTGAACATCGCGTGGTTATCAACTTCTTACCACAAGGGCATAAACGAGGAGGAGCAAATGCCTTGCAAGGAGGGCAGGGACCTGGATGGCACTGCAAGACACAATTATGGGGACAAAGATCCTCCTTACTTCCACCTGCAACCAGCATCTCCCGATCAAGTGGCTTACCACATGGTTCCCCACACGAATGTGGTGTCAAATACAAATCAGATGGGGGCTCCTGCCTTTTCCTACAGAAACAAACATAACGAATCTCCTTTGAGGATGTAAGCTGCACAGACTGGCATCCAGGACAACGCCAATTTAATCCCTGATTCTTCTCAGCCACCAAGTCCGTTGAAGTGGGTGCTCTGGCCCATTTCTTGATGCAAGTTAAATGAAAAATGCAGAAGCAGCTTGAACAAGACCATATGGGCGCAGACCTCCGCACCATATCATAACAAATCATACACTCAACAGTGCCCTTCATCAATTTTTCCTGAATTTCATGAACCAGCTGAGGCAAATTGGAGTCTTTAAACTCCTTTTCACCCTGATCCCCACTTCTCTCCTTATCTTTTTCCTTGTCTTTTCTCTGATTTCTCCGGGGACCCATGTAAACCCTTGGACCATGATTACCTCTGTCTCGACTATTAACTGGATGAGGAGTACACGAACTTAACTCTCGTCCATTGCGATTATCGTTCAAATTGACGTCCAGTGGCTGGTTCACATGGGTGTTCGTGGATCCTCTCGGTACCCACTCCTGTCGAGAATTTGATGCGGGAAACCTTGACCTGTCCTTCCGCACATTCCGGGCCTGTGAGCTCATATTCTGCAATCGAATAAACAAAGCCGAGTCAACCAGCACTGTATTAGCAAACAAAATGCATAAACAAATATTGGTTCAGAAAATCATCGCAATCCTTCTAATCAAATCAACGAGAATAGAAATGAAGCCCTAGGCGCAGATTGCAACCATTGTAGCATCCGAATATTCCCTCAAAATTCTTAGAAAAATAAAAGCAACGAAAAAAGAAGAAGAAACCTGTTGGAGCAAACTCGGGAATGGCCAAGAAGGCGGCACGGCGCTTCCTGTCCTCCTCCGGTTTCGGTGCTGCGATTGAGAGAGAAGTTGCGGTGGCGATGCGGTTTCAGATGGAGAGGAAGTGAAATTGGGTTCGCCGGAGTTTGAGTTTGAATTTGAAATTGAAATTGAAATTGTTTGATGTTAGGGCAATGGAAAAATGGAGAAGCTGGAGGAATCCGAGAAGTGAGGTCAAACAGACGGTGCGAGCGATTTATAGGGAATCGAGTGGCTTCGCTTGAGGCTTAAGGAAATGGTCCCCCCCTCACGCCGGCTCCAGATTCATATGCGTGGTCCGCACTACATTTTCTTATTTTCTTTTTCTCTTTTTTTTTTCTTTCTTTTTCAATACAGTATTTAGCGAAATATTGAGAGAGAAATACTCTTTTTTTGGTTAAATATTTAATATATGGTTTACTTACTGAACTGACGGAATGAAATTTTTCAAAATACAAGTCGCTTAACCAATAGTGAGTAAATTGAAAAAATAACAAAATATTAAAGAACATATATTTAACTTTTTTTATTTTGTTTATATATTTTGAAAATGTTATATCAGGTCCTTGAAGTTTGAAACGATCCATTTAACCCTGGTATTTTAAAAAAACATTAGCTCCTTTTTTTTTTTACCATAAATATAGGGTAGAAGATTCAACCTTCGACTGTCAAAAAAATTATAAAAGTAATGACAAACCTGTTAATTGCTCAATTTAATTACTATATCGTTATATATTTGAAATAGTATGAAATTAGTTAATTGTATAATTTTCCTAGACATAACTAAAATCAAACGAATGTAATTCTTAGATATTACAATTAACGTGTCAGGTAAGTGTTGAATTGACAATAGAATTTTACTAAAAGAAATTGACAATAGACTTTATAAAGCAGGGTGATCAAATATATACCATTTTAAAACCAAAAATTTATTATGAACATACCATCTTAAAAGTTCACCAATCACATTAAAGTTTAAATTTTAAATTATAATTTATGTTAATGTCACTATTTGACTATTAACAATCAAATTCGAAGAGTAAGGACAATATTTAGTGGGAGTGAGTGACAATTAAAATTAAGCATCTTTTGATAATGGTTTTAGAGTACACAAACAACGGGAGAATACCATGTTGGACGAAATAGAAAATTGAAAATACAATGTTTGCTTAGAAATCTAACGTGAATTTTCCATCATGTTTTCCATTTCAAATGAATCATGAATTGACACTATTTCTAAGCAATTTGTACCACGGATGTTGTTATAATAAGATACTAATAATATGTAGAAAAGAGACACATTGGTAATTAAGCATTTGAGCATGGGTCAATTTGACATTTAGAAACATCAAGTAAATGAAAATTTTTGACACATAAGGGTAGAGGTATTAACACAAATTTCTCTTTGTAAGATTCAACATCTATATTTTGATGTATGTTTATAATAATTCAAAAGTTGTTTACTTAAAAAAAAAAAAGTTAAACATTTAAAAGGTGAAAGCAAGATGAGGACAGAAAAAAAATATATATATATATATTATAATTATAAACAAAAATTATTAACAAAATAGATTTGGATTTATTTCATTGTATCTATATTATAAATTGAATTGAATTATCTTTGAATTAATCAATATAAACTTAACTTAACGATAATTGGTATTTTTTTCTAATCAAAATGTCATGAATTTAAACATCCACCACCTGGTGTGGTGTTTATTATCTTGATTGATGTACATGCACATAATTATAAATTTAAAAAAGAAAACTTAAAATGATAGAAAATATAAAAACTTTTGCTAAATAAAGATCAATAATGAATTCAATTCCGAGGAACCACTAATAATATGACAGATATGACCCCTTACGAAAATATCAAAAGACACAAATTGCCCTTCTCTTTTGTTGATAAATACGGAGATAAAAAATTTCCATTATTTTTTCAAAAAAATATTCTTCTGCACAAAATTTGAAAAGTGGCGGTTCTACGCAGTCGCGTCAGTCCACTCGTTGATTCTCGGGCGAATACTAATAGAGCTTTGTTCACGAAAGGCGGTACGCTGCTGCCATTGCCAAAAGTTTTGGCAATTTATTTAATTCATTAGCTACTTGTCAGCGTCATTTTAAAAAATAAAATAATCAAATGTAATCAATCCTCTTACTTTCTTACTATGTTTAATTGGATTAAAATTTAAATTTAAATACCACTCATAACTAAAATTACCGATATCGAAGGAGAGTTGAGATTTATTTCATTTTTTTAAATGATTGGTTCTATTCGTCTCTCCCAAATTTGGTTTCCTTTTACAAAATTCCATTTTTTTATTACAGAAATATGTGTGGAGTCAAATTTAGGGATTTGTTTCGTTTTTCAAATGACAATCAGATTGAAGGGACCTGTTTCTTATTTAAAAATTCCTTTCTTTTCTAAATTTTGTTTATTTTTATTCCATTCGATTTAACATTCTAATTTATCTCATATTAAAATTAAAAATTTAATTATAATTTCGACAATAACATACAACTTTCATGAACAATTCTATTAATTTGAGATATATATCAATTATCACTAAACTATGCTCATCCAAGATTGAGTGAGAGGATAATTAAAATTTGATTTTTGTATTTCCTATCGAATTCTAACCGACAAGGACAAAAATCAAGTGATCGGGGAATTTTTTTATTTTATTCTTTTTAACTACAATGTTTTTAATTGGAAAAGTTGAATTAGATTTTCTTTCCAGAGTGTTTGTTTAGTGAAAATTTTATAATCTGATTTGAAATTGCAAGAAAAATAACTCATCCAAGTGTGTTT